ATGCTGGAGAATGCATAATAGAATTCTGTAAAACCAATGATGTGTTCATTTCAAATACCTTCTTTAAACAGCATAAGAGTCAATTACACACATGGACCTCATCAGATGGAATACACAGAAATCAAATTGATGACTACATCTGTGGAAGTAGACGGTGGAAAAGCTCCATATCATCAGCTAAAACAAGGCCAGGGACAGATTATGGAACAGATCATCAATTGCTCTAAGTAAATTCAGACTGAATCTGAAGAAAATGAAAACAAGTCACGAGAGCCAAAATATACCCTTAAATATGCTCCACCTGAATGTAGAGATCATCTGAAGGACAGATTTGATACATTAAACACTAACGACTGAAGACCAGAGAGTTGTGGGATGACATCAAGAACATCATATATGAAGAAAGCAGAAAGTCATTAAGAAGACAAGAAAGAAGGAAAAGATCAAAATGGATATCAGAAGAGACACTGAAACTTGCTCCCCAGTGTAGAGATGCTAAAACTAATAGAAGAAATGAGGAGGTACAAGAGCTGAACAGAAAATTTCAAAGATAGCTCAAGAAGATAAAGTCAAATATTAATTACAACAAAATGTGCAAAGATCTGGAATCAGAAAACCAAAAGGGAAGAACACGCTCAGCATTTCTCAAGCTGGGGGAACTGAAGAAAAATTTCAAGGCTTGACTTTAGTTATTGAAGGATTCTCTGGGCAAATTATTGAATGATGCAGAAAGCATCAAAAGAAGATGGAAGGCATACACAGTCACTGTACCAAAAGGAAATGGTTGATGTTCAACCATTTCAAAAGGTAGCATAAGAAGTCCAAGGTGCATTGAAGGAATTGGCAAAGAACAAGGCATCGGGAATTGATGGAATAAAAATTGAAATATTTCAAGAAAGTGAGGCGGCACTGGAGGTACTCACTAATCTATGCCAAGAAATTTGGAAGACAACTATCTTGTCAACTGATAGGAAGAGATATGTATTTGTGTCCATTCCAAAGAGAGGTGACCCAATGGGATGCAGAAATCATCCGACAATCTCTCTGATAACCCGTTAAAGTTTTACTATAAAGTAATACAGAAACATCTGCAAACATACATTGTCAGAGAACTTCCAGAGGTTCAAGCCAGATTCAGAAGAGGATGTGGAACAAGGGATATAATTGCTGATGCCCAATAGATTTTGTCTGAAATGCAAAGGCTTTTGATTGTGTGAATCATGACAAGCTATGGACAACATTACAAAGTGTGAGTATTCCGGAACACTTAATTGTGCTTATGAGGAATCTGTACCTGGACCAAGAGGCAGTTGTTCAAACAGAACATGGGAACACCAAATGGTTTAAAATTAAGAAAAGTGTGCGATAGGGTTGTATTCTTTTACCATACTTATTCAATTTGTATGCTGTTCAAATAATCCAAGAAGCTGGGTTCTATGGGGGAAAAAAATGGCATCAGGATTGGAGGAAGACTCATTAACAACCTGAGATATGCAGATAATACAATCTTGCTTGCTGGAAGTGAAGAGAATTTAAAATACTTACTGATGAAGATCAAAAGTATGGATTGCATCTCAATGTAAAGAAAACAAAAATCCTCACCACTGGATCAATAAACAACATTCTTATCAATGGAGAAAAGTTGAAGTTGTCAAGAATTTCATTCTTCTTGGATCAACTATCAACACTCATGAAAGCAGCAATCAGAAAATCAAATGACGTATTGCATTAGGCAAATCTGCTGCACAAGACCTTTTTTTTAAAGTGTTGAAGAGCAAAGATGTCAGCTTGAAGACTAAAGTGCACCTGACCCAAGCCATGGTATTTTCAATCACCTCACATGCATGCGAATGCTGGCCAGTGATAAGGAAGACCATGGAAGAATTTATGCATTTGAGTCATGGTGTTGGAAGAGAATATTGAAAGTGCCATGGGTTGCCAAAAGAGCCAACAGATCTGTTTTAGAAGAAATGCAGCCAGAGTGCTCCTTAGAGGCCAGGATGGTCAAACTTGGTCTCTCATACTTCGGACATATTGTCAGAAGGGACCAGTCACTGGAGAATGATATCATGTTTGGTAATGTGAAGGGTCAGAGAAAAAGAGGAAGACCCCAGCGAGATTGGGTCAGTGACAGCACCAATGGACTCAAGTGTGGCAACAATTGTGAGGTTGGCCGGGAACGGACAGTGTTTAGTTCTGTTGTGCATAGGGTCGCTATGACTCAATACCCACTCGATGGTACCTAACAACAGCAACAACAACATCTTTATCAAGCTTTATGTCCTTCTCTTGGGACTTGTCCTTCCTGGTAATAAGTCCAAAGTTTGAGAAGTGAAGTCTGGCCATGTTGTCTTCTAAGGAGCTTTCTGGTTGTACTTCTTCCAACACAGATTTATTTGTTCTTCTGTTAGTCCATGGTACCTTTAATATTCTTCTGCGACAGCTCTGGTAGCGTAGTGGTTACAAATCGGGCTGCTAACTTCAAGGTCAGCAGTTCAAAACTACCAGCTGTTCAGTGGGAGAAAGATGAGGCTTTCTGCTCCTGTAAAGATTTGCAGCCTCGGAAACCCTGTGCCAGAGTCACTATGAGTCAGAACCGATTCTACGGTACAACAACAGCAACACCATAACTCAAATGCATCAATTCTTCTATGGTCTTCCTTATTTAGTGTCAACTTTCTTATGCATATGAGGCTATTGAAAATACCGTGGCTTTGTTCAAGTGCACTTTAGTCCTCAAAGTGACATCTTTGTTCTGGTAGGTGATATTTAAAGCCATTGATTCTAAGATCACTGAGGAGGTGATTATAGATAAAGAGATCCAGGCAGCACATTGTCATACATCCAACATTTAAAACAGGGTTTCTCAATCTCATGATTGACATTTTGAGGCCAATTAATTCTTTGTTGTGTGAGCCTATTTTGCACATTGGAGAATGTTGAGCATTACCCCTGGTCTCTACCCACCAAGTAGCAGTAACACTCCACCCCCCACCCTTCATCCCTAAAGTTGTGACAGCCCTTTATTTCTCCCAATAATATCAGATGTCCCAGGGCTGTAGGGGCTGAAATTTTCCCAGGGTGAAAAATACTGATTAACAAGTTAAGGAAATGAGGAACAAATAGCAAAATAAACAGGCAAAATTGGCCACAATTTTACTAGAAGGAAAACTAGGTTAAATTGGTAGTATGAATTCATGATACTTTATTCCCCATGATATATTTTCACATTAAAAATTTTAGTATTTTATATCTTTTTTCACTGAAGAGTCCTAAACCAAGATAATGAGCCCAGACTGCCATCTCTAAATACCAGTTCTCGCTATAGGAGCCAAGACTGCCTAAGAAATAACCATGTTTAAAATTTTTCTGGGTTATTTAGTCATCCCATAAAACAAGTTATTAGAAATTGTTGGGGTAATATTAGGCTTGAGAGCCAAATTAAAGAAGTTCTGCTGGCCGCAGACATTTGAGAATCAATAGTAATAATTACTGTAATAAATATTAAAATTCATAAGTCATAATGACATATGTCCATCATTTATCTTCCACCCTACCCGCCCCCCCCATTGTATGGGTAGCAAATAGTTGAGGGCAAGTTGTTCCTTAAAGAAATATTTCATTTACTATGAAGAACATTATTGGGATGAATGGCAAAACCTGAATAAAATATAAATAAAAAATATATAGACTGACTATATATTGGAATGATATCCATGTTAATTTCTGAATTTTAATAATTACATATGGTTATGTAATAGAATGTCTTTATATTTAGGGAATTTACGTTGTTGATTTATTTAGAATACAGAGCTGCAGGGTGGCAACTTTACTCTCAAACTGTTCAGAAAAAAAAATGTGTGCCTGCTTTATTTATATACACACACTTTACTAGGAGAGGGTGTGAGGATAAAGCAAATGTGAAATAATCACAGTTGGAGTGTTATGTAAGAATATGTTCCATGTTTTTAGAGAGGGGTAAATGTCTAGAATAATATGTTCTAGAGAATAATTAAATGGGTAAAATTTTGGGAATAAGAGTAGTTTCTGTATACTAATAGAAGTAAAGGTAGACTTTCTAGGTACATGTGGGTAGGAAGGTGGATAGATGTGATGGGAGCCTGAGAAAATTCTTTTCCATTACTTTGTTTTTCTTAGTATTGTAGGAAGCAGAGTTATTCAGCTAACTTAGATCTATTTAATTAGAACATTCATATGTAGACTAGTTATGTGCCAGTCTTGTATTTGAAGAGTTCACTGCTTGAAATACTACTAATTATACATACTGCATTAAAAAATGACCTGTAAATTAGTATTAAAATATTACTTTTTCATATCAAGAGGCTTTAAAATATATTAAGTCTTTTGACACTTTTATTGTACTTATTGTACTTATGACACTTTTATTGTACTTATTGGTGCTGTTAACTACACGGTCCTTGGTTCAAACCCACCAGCAGCAGTAGAAAAATGAGGTTGTCTGCTCCCTTAAAGATATACAATCTAAGAAATCCTGTATAGTGTCTGTATGTTTCAGAAATGACTTGATGGCAGTGGATTATTGTACTTACAGAACTCCAGGAAATCCAACCTAAGGAAATCATTCAAAGTGCACAAAAATGTTTCTAACAACAGTTTTCATAGTGTAAAATTTGAGAGCAGCATATGGTCCTGACAGTTTGGAAGTGGTTATATATAATTTATATATAGTTTATAGTAGCAATTATAATTATTTTATATAAATCCTAGAATCACATGGGTAAGGATCCAGTATTTTTAATTTAAAAAAGAAAAAAGGATGAGTTCAGCTGAGTAAAAGTAAATCAGTAAAAACACCTTTTAAAAACTCTTTACTGATTTATAATATAGAGAAAAGCACAGTTTGTGCTGCAGCTTAGTGAAGTTTTAAACTAAATTTGCCTGTATCATGAAATCAGAAAAAAATATTTTCAGAGCTTTATATTTTTATAGTATTGTTTCATCCTTTTTCTTTCTTACAGGCAAGTGTCAATTGAGGAGGGAGAAAGGAAAGCCAAAGAGCTGAATGTTATGTTTATTGAAACTAGTGCAAAAGCAGGATATAACGTGAAGCAGGTAAGTGCATTTTTAGTATGGGTTGAGGTTATCAAATTTTAAAAACATACTATGAAATAATCATACAAGTATTGTCTATTCTGCGGAGCACGGTAGCTCCATCTGATAAGCACTAGACTGTGAACCACAGGAGAAAGATGAGACGTTCTGCTCCCTGAAAGATTTAAATCCTCGGAAACCGTACGCAGGGCCACTATGAGTTGAAACTAATTCAGTGGCACTTAACTACAACAACAAGAACATTGTGTAAGAGTTTCTTCCAGTTAGTAATAGCAAGTATCATGAACTATCAGGTTTTTCAGGCAGTGAAAAAACAAAAAACAAATATTCTATAGTTTTTGGGGGGAAAAAGGAAAGACTTTCCAACTATTGAAGGATTGTGTGATTACAAGGTTATGACCTTACCATACTTTTATTCTATTTCCACTGCATTGATTAAAAGGCAATTGTTCCACACATTGGTGATAAGACTGTGATGAAAGAAATCAAATATTTGTGGTCAGTAATGGTGTGTTCTTGGTTTTGTAAATCAACGCATCTACATACAGCCAACTGATCTTCGACAAAACACCTAAATATCTCGCATGGGAAGGGGGTAGTCTCTTCACAGATGGTGCTGGTAGAACTGGAAAATGATAAGCAAAAG